ATCACCCGCACCACCCGCAGCAGCCGCAGCAGCCGCCCGACCTTTGTGCCGGCGCGCGCAATGCGTCCGGCACGCGCGGCGGCCGAGGCGTCGGTGCCAGACGCCTCCCCCGTGTCGAGGAAGAGCGGCATGCAATCGGGGACCATGGCGCCCGCGGCGACGACATCGAGCCAAAAGTAGAAGGAACGGATGTAGGCATCCTGCACGGCGGAGCGCACGAGCACCTCGGCGGCAAATACAGCTGCGACGAGCAGACTGGGGCGTTGGGGAGGGCGGTGAGGCTGAGGGTGGACCAAGAGGAAGAGTATGGCTCGTGAGCTAGTGTGCGGGGTGAGAGCCCGTGGGCAGCTCGAGAGGGGCTAGGATACACAGGCTGTGGCGGGGCACGATGTGCTCAAGGGCTAGAAGGTCGAGGGCCGGAGGCTCGAGCCTCGCCTTGCTCCCCAAAAGCCGACATCGGCTTGCTCCGAGGTGGGGCGCGAGAATGCTGCGAGGCGCACATCCTCGGCAAACAGGGCCCAGATGGTGAGGAACAAAATGCTCACCTCAAAGTACGGGTGGTTCAACAGCCGCGTCGCCGCCCCCTTGTAGCTCTTTGACCCCCACACCCCGCTCTTGCCTGCACCACGCCGCGGCTTGTTGCTACCGCGCCTGTCTCGGCTTTTCACGCCAACCTTCGCGCGCGAGAGGAGCGTGGATCTCTCGTCGCGCCCCATCGGAATTTGCCTATCGCCTGGGCTCCTCGATGCCGCTGCGTCCCGCTTTGCCACTGCGTTCCGTCGGATGAGGGCGCGCATCCGCTCAACTGCTGGGTCACCTTCTGTGGGGCGAGGCACCTGCGGAGGCAGCGTGGGGTATTCCGCTGACAGGCCGTCGCATCGCGTATGCACGACGGACGCCAAACGCGGCGGCGATGGTACACGGTAGAATGAGCCAAGTGGACGCACACACAGGGAGGCGGACGGCGTGGCCATTCACTGAGACTGCAGGGTGGAGTGTGCATTGCGTGGATACGCACCCAGATCTCCTCCGCGAGGCCAGCCCAGGCGGGCGGCGGAACGGCCTTGTAGATGTCCTCTGCATCGTACCTGGAGTGCCAATTCGCTGTACTGGCACCATGCCGCACCTATCGCTGCTACTCGTGCCGCCCGCGTGCTCTGGCGAGCATTGTGCAGGTACCGAAAGCTGGGTGTTGGCAAGTGGCGCGGCGCACAGGTCGTATTTATCGCGAGGCGGCTCGATCTCGGCAAGGTCGCGGAGGTAGAACAGCCTGTCGTCAGAGTCTGCCATTGTCGTCTTCTCCATTGTCCAATCGGAAACTAGCGCCCCGCTGCCGGCCGGCCGGGTAGTCGGCCCTGGGTTGTCACGCGCCCTCATCACCATGTCCCGATCCCGGGACCCAGGTCCCAGCCGCATGGAGGGCCTCTAAGTCAGTTGAGTGACGACCTCTCCGTCTAGGGATCCCTTATAGAGATGTTACAGGTGGGTTAAGAGGGAGATTCGCGCGAGCTGCGGGGGCTATGAACAGTCCCCCCCCCCCCCCCCGGCCCCCCCTGCGGCCCTGGCAGTCGCCTGTGTGGAAAAGGTGGTCGTGTGTTCGCCCTCTGGATGGACGCGCGCGGCGGGGTATTTCCTCGCTCGCGCACTTTCTATCATTTAACAACAAAGATACCGGTGCGAGTAAATCATCTCTAAACTATACTCATCTCAAGGCCAAGGCGATCGAAATACACGCTCTGGCACAAAACACGACCGACGAACACCGACATGTCGGCAACCGGGAATATGGTGTGAATAGAAAACTCGGGCTTCTGGTTCGTTGGCCGGCGTGCCAACGAGAGCTGTGGGCGATGGATGGGAGTGGTGGCTAGGCCCCCCCCTGATCGACGTCGTGAGCGCTCTTGGTCGGCGGCACGTCCGGTAGTGGCAGTAGCACTGGCCCTGCCGCGGGCTTGACAAACGCATTGAGCACCTGCTCCTTGAGGCCGAGATTGACAATCTCTTCCTGGCTGCTTGCGCGCGAAAGATAGGGCACGTCTGGGTCGGGCACACGCGACCAGTCGAGCGCCACACGCGCAAAGGGGCCGCGCGGCGCGCAGAGCAGCCGACGCGCCACCGCCGACACGAGATTGACGGCGGCGTTGTCGCCGTTGGCGAGGATGACAAAGCCTCGCGGACCCTCTGCGGCGTCCGGCCCATCGAAGCAGACGAGCAGCACACCGCGGAAACCATCGTTCGCCGCCTGGTGCAGCATCCAGCGCGACGTGCGTCCGTCGGCGCCATGGGAGTCGAAGACGAACATCCCGACGCCCATCGCCGCACCCATAAAGGCATCCGAGCCGAGGTCGCCCGCGGCGGAGGGCGTGAGCACGGCGCGCGCCGCCGCGTGCGAGATGGCGCCTGCAGGAGGGTCCAGACAGCACTGAGGACAGCTGCCGTGAGAGTCACGCCGCCGCCACGTGCGAGCTGGCGCCGCAACCCTCTGGCCGATGGTAGGCAAGCGCGAGTACGCGCAGCCAGTCGGCAAGCCCTGCGGCCGACCCGAGGGCGCCGGCGGCAAAGGGCGGGAAGGACTTGCGCCCGCCAGGCACCTGGCCGGTGCGAGATAAGGGAAGGGGGGTGAGAGGGAGGGGTGGAGAGAGGGAGGGGTGGAGAGGGAGGATGAGAAGACACCGGCTGTTGCCCGTCGTAGAAGCCGCAGGCGACGTGCTTGTGCGGCGGCGGCTCGTGCTCGAACGTGAGTCCGAGGTGCACGGCGGTTCCGCAGCGGCGCAGGAAGGCCTCCATCACCTGGTTCGCGCGCGAAGGCTGCGAGTCGGCGGTGGGGCACCGAGCGGCCGGCGAGGCGGGCTGACGACACCTCTGCGGCGGGTCGTCCCTCACGGCACTCGATCAAGTGCTGCAGCACGAGGAAGCCACCACCCGAGTAGCCGAAGCGCGTCCCAGGCGCCTTGGTCATCGCGAGCGACGCGTACCCGTACGGCGCGGGCGCCTCCTCACTCCCCGACAGGAGGGCGAGCACCGGCGGAAACTCGTCCGACCGCGGCACTCCGTTGGCGTAGTGCATCCCGAGGCCAGTGTGGTCCATCATCTGACCGGGGTCAGTGAGGAGGGGTGAGCTGGGTGATGCGCCGCGCCGCTCGCGCGGTGCGGCTAAGATCGCGATACCTGCCGCAGCGTGACTGTTTCTGCCCACTCCGCCGGCATTCCCTTGGCGGCGCGAAGACGGAGCGGCGAGTTGGCGGCGGCGAGTGCGTCGGCGACGGGCGTGTCGAGTGAGACGCCAGCGTCGGCAAAATAGCCGGCCGCGAACGTCGACGCAATCGGCTTTGACAGCGATGCAATCTGCAGCAACGTCGAGTCGAAGAGGGGAGTGGCGTTGGGATCCGCAATGCCGGCGCACTGTGTGGAAACGGAGGCGTCGCCGCTGCCGTCCGGGCACAGCACCGCAATCGAGACGCCGGAGACGCCGTGCTTGTCGAGCAGAGAGTCCAGGTCGTCTCTCTCGAGCATCGCTTCTTGCACCCCTATTCGCTCCCTCCACGACCTTCGCTGGGGCGCTGCGTTTGATTATTATTTCGCGGGTTTTTCTTTTTGCCGTTTTTTGGATTCTCCGCCCTCCCACCCCTCTCTTGGATTTTTTCTCGGCGAGCCGTATGGACGGAGGACGAGCAGCCGATCAGACATAGTCGGATAATGATTTTTGCACACGTGCGTCCCTACAGAACCAGCGCAATCAATCACGCATTCCCGCCTTACGCTAGCCTAACGATACCGGACTGCGCAGGGAGCGATTTAGGGACCAACCGCGGGGACCCAACGAAGACACCCCCACGCAGCCACAGCGATTACAAAACATGCCGGCCACTGAGCACTGTGCGATCACGTGTACGCCTCTCACTCCAGGGTGCAGGGAGGGGCGGAGGTACTCGTGTGCCTCGCGGGAGCGATCCATCACTTGTACACTTTCATCAGCATCTGAACGGGGGATCAGCCCTTGTCCTGGTTAGCCTCGTGTTTGTGTCCTGTCTGTTACTGTGGTCAGACCTGCAGACGAGCCAAGGCTAGGGCCAAGGACTACTTATGAGGCGAGCAGCAACGCCTCCGTCTTCGCGGCGGAGTCGTCGCTGCAACAGTTCTGGGGGACTACGCCCGCCTCGTTGCGGCGATGACGTGGGCATCAGTCGAGGCGAACATGACCGCGCGCTGCGCGCTGCGCTGCGAGGTGAAAACTCGAGTGCCGGGCTGTCGGCGTCTAGAGAACGAACCAGTGTCTAGACCTTGAGTAGTCGAATCACGCGATACTGGTGGTTTATAGCGTTTGGAGACATTTTGTCTCATACTTCTGGGGACTCTGCTCTCTCTCTTATCACTTGTGCGCCGCGCCGCCCGCACAGGCGCCGCCGATTGGGCCCCGAATGTATGAAAAGAAGACGGACGCTTGCGTCCTAGCCTCAAACAACGCCTCCCCGGCGCCGAGGCAGGATCCGGAGGGATGCTCAATCGCTCCACGCCACGCCACTTGGTTGCGGCGTCAGAGGTCAGGGACAGTGCGGCGTCAGCCTGAGCGCTGAGCGGTGAGCGCTGCGCGGTACCCTCGAACCCTGTCAGGGACGGGGAACCCGCAATTTGAGATGCTGTGACGGTGTGAGGCATCTCTGCATACGATTTCCATTTTAATCGCGATTGCCTCGAGCATCCCAAGTGCCAAGATGCATGTGAAGGCAAAATTCAGGAGATGCGCGCGCGCAACCAAAGATGTCCACGACGCGCGCACATCCTGAGGCACAACCAAAAATGTCCACGATTGTTCTCGAACACAGCAGGCATCCGCCTGAATGAGCCATACCTGAAGCTGAACTGGTTGGGTAGTAACCTGGCTCACCTGCGAACCTGCCTGCTCGAAAGAGAGAGGTGCGTATACACAACCGTCGCTGGACGCTGCACTCCACGTGCTCGGTCAACGCAGGAATGTGTCTTTCCTTCTTTGATGCTGTCTTGGTGTGGTGTGGATTCGCATTGAGTGTATACTCGAACGCAGACAACAGACACAAGCGACACGGGCGGGCCCGCGAAGGACTGGTGCACAATCTGCCCAGCCTAGATGCTCGCCTTCTTGCGCATGCCCATGAACTTGTCCTTCTCCTCGAGCGTCTGGAAGCGGCCGTGGCCAAACTTGGACGAGGTGTCGATGAACTTGAGCGTCACCTCCTCGACGGCGTTGCGCTGCGTCTGCTCAAAGAGCGGCTTGCGTAGGGTGACGACGCGCTTGCGCGGGCCGACGACGCACCCCTTGAGCAGCAGGTAGTCCTCGCGCACCAAGCCGTAGTGCGGGAAGCCGCCGACCGGGTTGATCGACTTCTCGGTGAGGTCAAACTCGGTGGTGGCGTTGTTCTCCTCCGCCCCCTTGCCAATCTTGTAAATCTTCTTGTTCATCTCCGTCCGGTGGTGGTAGCCGTTCTGGCCCGCGCGCGGCACCGAGTACTGCACCTTGGCCGGGTGCCATGCGCCGATGCAGGCAACCTTGCGCAGTCCGCGGTGCGTCTTGCGCGGCAGGCGCGAGCAGCCCCAGCGGGTAGTGACGCCCTCGTAGCCGTGGCCCTTGGTGACGCCAATCACGTCGCACATCTCGTCCTTCGCAAAGACTGCGTCCACCGGCACCTGCTTCTCGAACATCTGCGCCGCAAAGTCAACCTTGGCCGCCAGGTCGCCGCCGTTGACCTGGATCTCCATCAGGTGCGCCTTCTTCTGGCCCACCTTGATCTTGCGGATCTGCGTGTGGGCGAGCACGCGCACGCACTGGCAGTACTGCTTGATGCGCTCGAGCTCCGCGTTGATGTCCTGCGGCGGGGCGGGCGCGGGCGGGGGAGTGGTGGGACGCGATGGCCATATGGAATTGTGTGTGTGTGGGGGGGGGGGGGGGCGAGGGGCGATCGGCAGGGGGGGGGGGGGGGAGGGCAACCGGAAAAGGCCCCCCCGGGCCTGGGGCCCCCCAGGGTTTTTTTTGGCGGAATTGGGGAAGGCCTTTTTTTTGGAAGGGGACCCATTCTTTTAAAAACGGCGCTTCCCCCCGCCGTTAAGGGGTTCCCCCCAACCCGGTGTGAGCGCGCGCAGCCCCTTGGGCGTTTTGACTTACCCAACCATTCCAACCACAACCATTGGGGGGGCCTCGAGAACCGGCCCCGCTCCTCAAACCTCCTTTTTGTGGGCCTCTCCAAGGCGGGGGAGGCAAACTGGGGGGTTGGGGGGGG